AAACTTTTTCCATGGGTGGCTGAGATAGTGACACCTTTGTTTTCTGATGGCTTGATATACACTGACTTTATTTCATAAAAATGACTTTATAAGGTGCATATGAAACATAAATGAATTTTTGTGTTTAGACTTGTGTCTCATCTCCGAGATATCTCAGCATGTATGTGCGTGGAAATATGGTTACTGTGGGCTCTCCATGTTTGCTGGGGTTAAGGGCGCAGGACCCTCATGGAAGTGGAAAACCTCATAAATCAAAGACCACTATCTTTTTACCTGAGAGAATGTCGATCTAGGAATCTCTAGATGTTTTTCAGTGCAACTCTGTAGTCAACATCTACCAAATGACCAACAAAAGACTGTGTGTATGTATGGTTTGCCTTCAAGTCATTTCCAACTCATGGCGACACTAAGGCAACCCTATCATGGGGCTTTCTTGTCTAGATTTGTTCAGAGGAGCTTTGCCATTGCCTTCCCCTGAGGCTGAGAGAGTATGACTTGCCCAAAGTCACCCAGTGGGTTTCATGACTGAGCTGGGAATTGAACCCTGGTCTCCTGGTTCAACACTCAAACCACTATGCCTCTCTGGCTCTCTAAAAATGCCTAGAGAAGCGCTTTCTCTAGGAATCTATAAGTCAGTGATTCCCAAACTTTGGTCCTCCAGGTGTTTTGGACTTTGACCCTCAGAAGCCCCAGCTACTTTGGCCAACAGTCAGGAAATCTGGGAGCTGAAGTCCAAAAAACCCCAAAGGACCAAAGTCTGGGAGTCAATGTTCTTGGTCCTCCAGCACAACTCTGTTGGAAGTTGACCGTAGAGTCACCTTGGAGGACCTAGAAATTCCTAGAGATGACATATGACTCGAATCCGTGAACAATCAAATCTGAAAAAAGTCAAAGCCGCAAATGCAAAAGACAAATCTGCAAATGCGTGGACGGCTGATTGTATTCCGAAATCCAAATCTCGTCTGGTCCCATGAATTTTGGATAAGGGAAGATTCAACTTGTAATAGACGAAATACTGGAATCTCCCCCATTTTTCAAGTGATGGGTTATTATTGTTGTTGTTGTTGTGTGTGTTGTATTTGTGGCTGCAACTGATAATGAGCTTCCTGGACTAATGTATTTAAAAGGGTTTTTTTGCTGCCTGGCTCAGCCCCATGCAGTGACAGTGTGCTGGCATGCAGATTTAATCCGTCGGCGGAAGGAATGTGGGGCCAAATCTTGCTGCAGCAGGTGCATGAAAAGGCCAAGAGAATGCAGTCAAATCGGTGCATCCAGAGACCGTCCACGGTGGAGTTTGCATCTCAATTTAGAAGAATCTTGAGTTAATTTTGGAAGACGGGATTAATGGCCGATGCTGCTTCTATGACAACAAGGAGGGCGAACCTTTTGTGTATAGCAACATGTTGTGGAAATAGACAGTGAGATTCTTCCCATGCTCAAGAGCGTTGAATGTGTCGCACGGTCTGAGCTCCATAGACCTTCAGGATCAATTTAATAGTGAAATATAATCTTCTGTGCTGAGATTCCTTGAGGCTATTTTTAAAATTCTGCTGTACTGTATCCTGGAGGGAGGGGGACCTGGTACTGTAGCATTGAACACAAATTGCTTTTCTGAGGCCAGGGTTTAGAGGATTAAAATTTAGAGCAAGGGGGGGGGGGGAAGAACTTGCAAGGCAAGATGAACTGCTGTTCCTTGCTGGATGCAGAGGTAGAGGCGCTAAAATACTAGCATCACTGAATTTTATGGGATCCCCGTTAATGCCGTTAGATAACCCTGTCGCCTACCAAAGCTTGGCATGAGAAGCAAGCATCCAGTGAATTCCTTTTTAGCCTTTCCAGTTTACTCCCTATACAGTTGGCTCTCCATATGCATGGATTTTGCATCCATGGATTCAACCATCATGGATTGAAAATGTATTTTAAAGAAAAAAATCCCAAAAGCAAACTTTGATTTTGATTTTGGCATAAAGGGGGTACCATTTTACTTCTTCTTGTTATTGTTGTT